CTTCTTCTTTTGCTGATCATTGACCAAATATATAACTTCTTCCTCAAATGACTATCAAATCAGAGACCTACACATTTAGTGGGAACCCCTCTCCTCCAAAAAATAAATACCTGGAAAAATTGTGCACCTGAAGATAGGTGTGCACTGAAATTAAAATATTTCAGCCAAATACATTACAATTTACCAGAGTTAATTTCTCTAGCTGAATCAGCATATACTTTCTTTTTAATTAGATTAACAGGCTAAATCAAATTAACTAATAAATTATGCAGAGTCAATGCATTTCTAAGGTGGTATGGACAAGTTGTACTTCTTATCCTTTCAATTACAGAGAACATTTATCTTATGGTGGCCTTACTTCCTAATTTTATTTATTTATTTTCCAACTGCTTTTCAAACAAACATATGGAGAGCAAAATTATAACAGTATATTCAGGACTACTAGAAGAAAATGGTATTTACCTGTTGCAAGTACACAAAGATTGAAAACAAAGATATTATTTATTTAGTTTTATCCCACTTTTATTATTTTTATAAATAACTCAAGGCATCAAACATTTCTAACATTCTTTCCTCTTCCTACTTTCCCCACAACAACAACACTGTGAGGTGGGTTGTGTTAAGAGCAAGTGACTGACATGACTGACCCAAAGTCACACAGCCAGTTTTCATACCTAAGGTGGGACTAGAATTCACTGTTGCCTGGTTTCCAGCTTGGTGCTCTAATAATTACATCAAATTGACTCTCTGGAATAGTTAGTATACCTGAAATTCTCCTCTCACTTTAAGTCCTTCTTCCTAGAAGCCTTTAGAATGAAGGACTGACCTCACCTCATTCTTCAGAGGTCTGTAAGGGGTTTCCATAAGTGCACCAGCGTGCCTACCATCCCTGTCCTAATATTCCTTTTTACTTACTCTTTTCATGTATTCAAATTATGTTTAAACTTTTACCTGTTATTTTATATATATTATGTTATCTTATATATTTATCTTAACAAATAAAATAAACTTATGAAACTAAACTTATCTATAGTAGGTTAGAAAGTAGGTAAATTGAGTAGTACTATGGGGGTCTCATCCTAACTCTTTATCCTACTGATTTTGTTACCTGATAGAGATGTTTCATGGTGCTATATAATGGTAGCTAAAATTATAATTCATTACCGAGGAGACAAAATATATCTCAAATGCCAATAAATCTGAGAAAGCATTGTTATATGTTATGACCCAGGGTTGGCATGCAAGCAACACATGCTAGGTGGAAGCTTGGCCACTTTTATTCAACCACCATCCCCCACAATCCCAATAATCCAGCAATTCCCAGTCTGTTCTCCAAGGTCTCTGCCTCCAGGTTACCATTACAGTCTAAGAGCAAGGCTCAAATACATGTGCCGGCATGTACATGTACATGTACATATCTTCGTGCAACTTCCTGGCAGTGAAAGTCCACAGGAACAACACCACTCCAGGAGCATTTTTGAAAAGGCCTTCGGGCTACTCAATAAAAGAACATACACTCCAGGAGCAAGAAAAGCTCTCACACTTGGCAAAGTTCATGATGAATGTCAAAGCAAAGGATTAAACCTCAGTCCACACCAGCAAGGATTCTGGATCAAAGTTCTTCTTGGAGCAGTGGAACATGTTGCCATGAAATGCAACACTTGTTCCTGACAATAACCCCTCCCCATGGCATTTCCTTAAATGCTACTCTCCAGGTGATCCTCAGGAGGAGGGATGGGGTCAGGGGTGGGTTCTAAATTTTTTTTACTACCGGTTCTGTGGGCATGGCTTATTTTGTGAGTGTGGCTTGATAGTCATGTGACAATTCTTTAGGATTTAGCAGAGGCACTGGTCTACCAGGCTTTTAACTGCTTGCAGAGCTGTACCGGTCTACCCATTTGTTTTTGGAGGCACCAGTCTACCCATTTGTTTTTCAAGCGCACTGGTCTACCACCACACTGCCTTTTATTACTGATCAGCTGTAGGGCAGCCCTTTCAAGCCCCGTGGCAAGAGTTTAAACAGTTTTTTTCCTTCTAGCCGATCAGCTGGAACTCGGGAGGCAGCGAATAGATTGGGAGTGGGGGGGGGCAGCTCCTGAACAAAGAGAACCAGTTCAGTGACATCATATTGTCACCGTTACTGTCTCAGCCGAACCTGGCCACCACTGGATGGGGTGCCTTCCTTCCGAATAGTCAGGTTGCCCTGTGTTGACTCTGCCTCCTCTTCCTTCTCTGCACCCGGGAATCAGGTGGGGGAAGCATTTGCTCATCTCTGGAATTCTGCTCTGCTCTACTGCCTGCTCTTTCTATCTCCTTCTCATTCCTCAGTCAGCCTGCATCCTCTCTTCCTCCCTGCCTACTCTTCCAAAGTCCGAAGGGCCTGGGACTGCCTTGTCCTCATCCCCAGGTCATTCCTCATGGGCCATAGGGACTGTGCCCTTCCCCTCCATTCACTTGCTTACACCGCTCCAATAGTGCCATCAATTTCCCGTCATGATCATGCTCCGCTTCATCATCAGTGTCGGCACACCTAACTATAAGAATATCATCAGCTATAGGCTCAATTCCGCTGAGGCCACTCAATAATTCCTGTTGCTTCCTTTGATACATCTCTGGTGCTATGGAGATACCAAAGGGCAGTTTAAGCCACCTCTTTCTGCCCCAAGGAGTCCAAAACGTAGTCATATAACTGCTCTCTTCGTCCAGTTTACACTGTAAGAAGGCATCCCTGGCATCAACAAGTGTAAAAACCCATGCCTTAGGCAGCTTGTACAAAACATCCTCTAACGTTGGCATTGGGTAATGCGATCGTTTCAAGGCCATATTAAAAAACTTAGGATTGATGCAAATTCGGATCTTTTCCAACTTCCTAATCACCACCATATTACTTATCCAGTCGGTTGGCTCGGCTAATGAAACAATATGTCCCTCTGCTTCATATTTATCCAACTGTGCTTTAATCTGTGCCTTAATGGCTATAGGGACATTGCGCGGGGCACTTTGTACTGGAGGGACAGTGGGATCAAGTTGAAAATGAACCTCTCCTGGCACAGATGCAATAGGGCCCTCAAACAGCTCCCTATAAACTTGGAGGACTTGGTGCTTTATTAATGGTCTCCCCAAGGCTTTGGAGGAATAGGTTTCAACATTATGCAACTTCCTCAGAATGGTAAATCGGATCAGTCCCAAACGCTCACACGTTGAGCCTGACAGTAACGGCTTTTGATCTACATCCACAATTTCAAATTCCAATTTGTGAGTAACCCCACGTATGTTACACTCTGTATAAAATAAGCCTAGTGACTCCATCAGTTCCCCCGAATATAACTTTAATGAAGGGGTGTCTCAAGTGCCAATTTCCTTTTGTCCTTTAGGCTCATCACATCGTATGTTGTCCCCGAGTCCAACTGACAAGATTGAATTATATCATTAAATTTAAGATTAACAAACCACTTTTTGCCTTTTGAATGTACTGCACCAATGCATTCTTTTGTATAGATCACATCAGTGGTAAACAGTGATACATCCTCTAAGTCCGGCATTTGCTCGACCATATGCAACTTCCTTGCTGCCAGACACACTCCAGCAAAATGGTTCAGCCTCCCACACACCCTACAGATTTTACCATAAGCTGGACACCAATCTTTCCCACATGCATGCACATTGTCACAGTATTTACATGGTATGTGGTTATCTGCTGACAAATTGCGAGGCTTCTGTTTGAACTGCTGCTGTTGCTGATGATTCCTCACAATCGGCTGGTGCTTGGAAGCTACATTAACATAGTTGGTCTGTTTATCTCGCTCCAACGCCATCAGCTGTTTATCTGTAAATTCAGTAGTCCGACATATTTCTATGGCTAATTGCAAGGTTAAACCATGTTCCCTTAATAAACGGCGGTGTGTACTTTCCTTGGCCACACTCAAAACTATTTTGTCTCGGATGAGTTCGTCTCTCAGGGAACCGTAATCACAAGTTGCCGCCCTTTCCTTTAAGCGTGTTACAAAGGCATCTATCGTCTCTCCTTCTTCCTGCGTGCAGCTGCCAAAAAGATATCTTTCATATATAACATTCTTATGCGGTATGAAGAAAGCTTTCAAAGCATCCAAAATAGCCTTAGTATCAGTTTTCTGCTCTTCTGTAAGAGTTAAACTATGCTTATAAATATGAAGGCATTCTGCACCCATCAATCTTCTTAATGTGGCAGCTTGTACTGCTGCCGGCTTATCATTTAAGCCTGTAGCCAAAGAGTAATCTTCAAACTCTGCCCTAAAATTTTCCCAATTAGTGCTAGAGTCCTCACTTACTCGCATGGGTTGTGGCAGTGATATATTATCTGCCATGGTGCTATATTTCTTACTTCAAACGCTCCACTTTCAGGGCCAAATCATTTCTGACACCATGTTTCAGATATGCTTTTATTAACAAAATAAAACTAACAACGCTTATAAAGCGTCTTCAAAGGCAACACCCAGGAACACCTCATAGAGACACATAGAGATAAAGATTAAAAGCGAACACAACCCCATAACATCCTCCTTCCCCACTGCTGAAGTCTGCAGCCATGCAACAAATGGGGATTGACCATCACTCAAGCCCCACTGCTGTCAAAGTAGATCCCGGGCACTGTGCTCCAATGGACAGATGAAAAGTGGAGTGAGAGAAGGAGGAGGAGGAGAAGCAAGGAAAAGAAAGAGGGAAAGGGATGCCATCCTGGCTGGCCAGGCACTGAAGTGCTGCCACTGCCTCTGCAGAGAGAGAGATCTGTAATTTGGCAAGAATAGGATTTAACCATAATAGTTTCTCATCACATACGTATCAAACTTTTTGTTTTAACGAACAATCAGGTAGTGTTTTGTATCTTTCCCTTCACTCAGCTTCAAAACAAGGTCATTTGGAGAACTTTAGAATTATACCAAACCTGTCTTTTGCAAGCAAAGAATATCAGACAAAATAAATATCAGACTGTTTAAAATTAATGGACTAGCCAAGTTCAAATCAACTTCAAATTGCTTTATTTTTAAATTTCCAATTCTAAAAAGGATATAGAAAAAGTGGGTTGTGAAGTGTGGGGGGTGGAATAAGAAGACAGGCAGAGGAACTGGCCAATATTTTACATATTGGACTCTGGAAAAATGGTCTATCAACAAATACAACCATTTCAAATTTCTAGTTTCCACACAGTATCCAATTGGCCCTGATATTCTTATGCAATTATAAGTTCCTTGCACAACTCTTATAAGAATGTTTGCAATCACCGTAGGAGATGCTTTAATCTGGTGGATATTTTCCACACAGATTTTTGTATATCCTTATTCCTTAAACTGTAAATGATGGGATTTAGAACTGGTGGCAAAAGTGTATACAGGCATGCAGCAACCACATCCACAATTGGAGTAGAAAGGTTTTTTGGAATCATATATGAAAATACAGCAGTGATAACAAATAAGGAAAACACAGTCAGATGAGGAGTGCAGGTTGAAAAAGTTTTGATTCTTGCGTGAACTGATGTTATCTTCAGCACAGTTGAAAAGATATATCCATAAGAAGCAAACAGAACTCCAATGCAAAATGTAACTATAATGACTCCAAGAATAACAATGAGAAATGTATGAACATTTGAATCAGTGCAAGACATTTTTTGCAACAGAGGCATATCACAGAAAAATTGTCTAATTTTATTGGATCCACAAAAGTTCCCTCTGAAAGTTAGACTGGTTTCTAATACTGCATGAATCAGGCTGCTGATCCAGGCAGCAGATGCCATTTGAATGCAGGCATTCCAGTTCATGATCATACTGTATTGCAGAGGGTGGCAGATGGCTACATAACGGTCATAGGCCATGGCAGTGAGCAAAAAAAGCTCACCGCTAGTATAAGTAACAATTAAAAATAGCTGTGCAGCACATCCAGCAAATGTTACTACTCTGTTTTTTGTAATTGAAATGGCTATGGATTTAGGAACTGTAGTAGAAATAAAGCAGAGATCTAAAAATGACAGGTGAACCAAAAAGAAATACATGGGATTGTAAAGATAACGGTCTAGGGTGACAGCCATGATGATCAGAAGATTTCCCACTGCAGCTGTTAAATAAACAAACAGAAAAATAACTAAATGCAAAATTTGTGTTTCATGGTCATCTGCAAATCCCATTAAAAGGAATTCTTTCACAATGGATTGGTTGCCCATTTCATTTATTCCAAAGGTTCTGCAAAGAATAGATTACAGAATGTTCAATGATTTCTTACAATGATTTCTTACATTTAGAGAAAAATACTTTTTTCCAGAATTAACAATATCATCATTTTAGAAGCTTGTTGGAGTATTCTCTGAGATTAATAAATGATAAATTATTTTACAATCAACTCTCTTGAACTAAATTGTAATCCCATCATAATTGCTTCAATTCTTTTGGAAACAGTGGGTGAAAAATAATCACGTAATGCAAGACACACATCATACTATTATACAGATTTATTTTAACATTTTTTTAAATATTTGGGAGTCTCTGAACATCAGTAAATATTGGTCTATGTTAACTCTTAGTTCTCTTTCCCATTCTAGATGTTGTTCCACTGTTAAATACTGAATTTACTTTCAGCATCGATATTCTATTGAGGTTGATATTTATCTGCATTCTTCAAACTGGAATGCATGCAGATACTCCTAGGATTACAGTGATATAAGCATAAGTGTAATGACATCACCATAAAGAATACAATTTATTTTATTGCATCCAATATTGAGATACATGGATAAACAGGCATAATTTCAGTTGTAATATATAATCACATATAACTCCAATTTCCTATATTTAGATTAATAATAGATTAAAAGACCATGATTTCTATTCTCTCTCTCTCTCTCTCTCTCTCTCTCTCTCTCTCTCTCTCTCTCTCATCCATTTCTCCATTTATCAAACATGCATCTAACTACCATCCATTCTTCCTCCATCCTTCCGTCCAGCCATTCAAGAAATAAATTACTAGGAAATGTCCTAAACTGTTTGAAGCAAGTAGAAAGTTTTCCTGTTGAAAGGAATTGTAAGATTAAATATTGGCAATGTGTACGGAAGATTTCATAATGAAAAATGTCAAAGTCCTATTACCTGTGGTGAAAAAAAAAATTTCTAGCTAAAATTGGAAAAAGTAATGATAGCATATTGCCTGCTGATCTTTTCCATACATACCTCCTTTTGTAAACTATATCCTAAGTAATCTGTCAACAAAATTCTCATATGTAAAGGGATAGTAAGTTTTTCCACACTAAATGAGAATACATCCCATTGAACATAATGCAAATCAACTATGAATGGAATGGTTTTGTAAATTAAAAGCACCATTCCTATCAGAATCTCATTAAAGCCTTGCATTAATCTCTTGCCTTATAACATGAGACATAAATTTCAAAAGATGCAGCCATATACTTAACAACCTGTACTTAATAAAATAGGCATGATAAAGTATTTTTTGTTTTACCAAAATCCATTGTATAAATATCTGCCAAAATTTCAGTCATCTACTATACACTTAATTAAAAGTTTCTGTGCAAATTTTTTTAATGAGAAGAAATTATTAGAATTTTAAGGATACCCATATATCACTTTAATTTTAAAATGTCTAACTGCATATCACTACTTCCTTACATAGTTACCATAATAACTTTAGAAATGAAACCGAGAACTTTAATTTTGTATTGAATGTGATTTAGAAAATTGCTTACCTCTAGTTGAAGTCAGGGCTGTTAGGAAATGAGGATATTTGTATACCTGAGTCTTTTTTTATTTGCCCAAACACACATAGGAAAGAGTAGGATGAGCCACCTCTATTCCCAAGAGTATTTCATGGAGTTTCATAAAGTTAAATTATTTTTAACTTTTATTTAATTTTAAGCAGCAAACAACCTGTTGGTGAGGTATGTGCTAAACCTTAGCAGATCTCCAAATATAGCTTGAATCCATTACTTAAATGCCATGTTTCCAAACATTTATTTTATTAAACTATGCTTTGGAGAAGAGACAGTGCCAAAAAAAGAATTATCCATTCAGAGATACAAACTCTATCCAATTTTGTCCCAGATCCTGCTCATCATTGTCTATGGCTCTTTCAGATTGCCAGGATTGGTTAACCTCTTATACTTTGGGGTATTGATATTCATCTTTCCTAAAATGTTTTTTAATGCAAAGTTTTGGCATAGCAGGTCTGTATCTCATTTGCTTAAAAATAAATCAATAAAAAAAATTCAATTTTCTTTGTATATTCACCTATGGAATGAACAAATCCCCATATATTTATCCTTAATAAAGCTGGGCAATCTACTATGCTCCCCTCACACACCCACACTGTTTACTTACTGTTACCAGCTAGGCATAATTATTGTTCAGTTCTTTTGTAGTTTGTTAACTTTCTTACTGACCTTTCTTCTGCTCTGGATGTAAGGCAGAAGACGTGTGTGTGTGTTTATGTGTGCAATTATCACAACTTTGTGATTTTTTTTGAGGGTCTTTTCTCCCAAGATTTCTCCCAAGAAACTAAAGTCAGAAGTAGAGTGGTTTTTGTCTTCTTTATTATGATTTTGTCTTTGTTTATTAAAACTTCTAAACTTCTAATGAGCTTGCAAAACAATAGAATATATAAGCATCCCAAGGTAGTAAAATAACAATAGAGGCGTGCACAGACATTAGAGAAATTGGTGGCAATAAACATATTTATTATGCATCACAGACTTTCAGCCTTTGTTATATGTATTGTTATATGCACATATTGGTTATATTTCTTTTGGTTGTATGAATAAAAATAATGGATGGTCATAAAGGATACATGTCAAGCACTCTTAGTTTTTTTCCATTTGTTCTCTTTACTAGCTGCTCCCTAATGTTCAATTCAGGCTTCATTAAAATAATATAACATTTAGGGAAAAATATACATCCCAATAAGCCAGCACTTGAAGCTACAATTGAGAAGATTTCCACAGCTACCATATATTTGCCTTTGGTGCTTAAGTAAGTAGGAACAAATGAAATCCAGACGCTGCAAAAGATGAGCATGCTGAAGGTAATAAACTTAGCTTCATTGAAACAGTCTGGTAACTTTCTGGCTATAAAAGCTACAGTAAAACTTACAATGGACAAGAAGCCCAAATAGCTCATGACAATGTAGAACATAGCAATGGACGCTTCGTTACATTTTAATATGATATTTTTGGCTAAAGATTGAGTATCAACATCTGGAAAGGGAGGAGAGTTTGCTAGCCAAGCTACACAAATCACTCCTTGAATCAAAGGACAGCAAAGAATAATAAGCACGGTCAGTCTTTTCCCAACTCATTTCCTCATTCTTGATCCTGGCTTGGTAACCATGAATGCTAAAATTACAGTCATGGTTTTTGCCAGTACACAAGAAATGGCTACAGAGAAGATGATAACAAAAGCAGGTTGCTGGAAAAGGCAGGTCACCTTTCTGGGTTGTCCAATAAAAAACAAAGAACAGAGAGAACAAAACAGGAGAGAAATCAAAAGAATGTAGCTGATGACCAGATTGTTGGCTTTGACAATGGGAGTGTCTTTTTTCTTAATAAAAATTCCTAATACAAGGACTGTGATCAAGGTAAAAAATCCTACAGCTGAAGTTAAACTTATTCCTAATGGATCATTGTAGGACAAAAAGGTTGCAATTTTGGGAATGCATTGATCTTGGTTCATGCCAGGATATTGATCTTCTTGGCATCTGAAACATTTTTCTGAATCTGGAAAAACAGATTTGCAACAATTAATGTGAGAACAGGTGGTAATTTTTGTCAACTTCAAAAGTAGATTTTATTTAGTGTTGTAAGAAAATACTCTAACAAATCACCAATCTATTTATATTGAGTGAAAATTTTTTAAAAAATGATAACTAATTAAAGAAAACAATAAAGATAATGAAGTGTGGAGCATTTGCAGGTATTGCTTTATATTCAAAAATAGTTTCCAACTTGTAGTATCAGTACAAAGCTGTACTGTTATATTTGCTAATAACAGACCAAATGTCATGTTGGAGAGATTCAGACAAATTAGCTTCCTTTAATCTGCTGAAGATATCCAACTGGTACTTATTTCTAAATATGCTTGTTAAAATATACTAAATATATTTATATAAATAAATATAAAATATACCAAATATATTAAAATATACTAAAGTAAAGTATACTTCTTGCATCATCAACCAATTCAGGCAACTGCATTGATACAGTAATTTTACATCTTTCATAGCTGAATTGAGCAACCTTGTGCTGAGCAACCACAATTTTAATCTGAGCAAATGAGTGAAAATGATAGAGAGCTCTTAGATGGATAAAGCAATGATCCTTTTACTAAAATTTGTGGCTATTCATTCTATGGAGATTCTCAGTCATCCAGGTCATGGTTGTCCCAAAGATACTTTTTCAAGAGGCAACTGAACTATTTGTTTTTCTTTGAAGATACTTTGCCTCTCATCTAAGAAGCTTATTCCGTTCTAACTGGATGGTGGGGAATGGAAGGATTTATATTTCTTGCAGACAGCTGGTCATTTGCATTCTTTTTGAGAATCACTGAGGCCACTTGGAGGTTTATCTGTGTCGTCAGGGTCACCTGAGTAGTGCAAATGGGTGTGGAGCCTTCTTGGAAGTGCTGAAAGGACTGTTTTGTAGACAGGAGACAGATAATGTTGTATCCCTCCCCCTTGGTTGAGAGAGGCCTGTTCGATTTTGACATAGATGGCCTCTTTAAACCCTCTTTCAAACCAGCAGTCCTCTCTGTACAAAATGTGGACTTTGCTGAATTCAAAAGAGTGGCTTTTGTCCTTTAAATAGAGATGGATAGCTGTAAAAGAAATATAAATCCTTCCATTCCCCACCATCCAGTCAGAACTGAAGAAGCTTCTTGGATGAGAAATGAAACATCTTTAAAGAAAAACAAGGAAGTCCAGTTTCCTCTTGAAAAAGCACATTTGGGTTTTCACTAGAGTATTTCATGGAGTTGGTCTTAAAAGGCATTCAGTAGCTATAATTGATCCATAAATCAGCAGCTTGAATGTACCTTCAGCTCCTGGTTCATGGCCATTTTTGGAGCTATTATCTCATGTATTAAAGATTGTCATCTGCAAGGTGCATGGAATCATGACTCCTCAATCACTGGCCCCATTCTCTGGAATAGAAGCCATCTCCCTATT